GGGGAGGGGGGGAGGGGGGCAAGTCGAGGACGGTGATGCCAAGCCTCTCTACAAGAAACGGGTTCCTAGAGACAACAACAACACAGAATCTTGCGGCAAAAAGCATGCGAAGAAAGAGCGCGGCACTTGTAGGCGGAAGCAAGCCAACTCGGGGCTCGAAACTGCTGTCCCGGTGCGGGTGGAGGAAGGCAGAGGGCACCGGGACCGGGGCCTCGACGGCGGATACTAGGTGCACCGGCAGGGACAGCAAGAAGAGCAGCAACACTGCCTTCTAGCAGCGCATCACCAGAAGAGCATTGATTGCGTGCTTCTGGAGACCGGGGGCTTCCCTCTCTCCTCTCTCTCTCTCTCGCTCTCTTTCTCTCTCTGTCTCTCTCTTCTCTCTCGTTCTCCTTCCCTCTCCTCTCTCCCTCCNCCCCCCCCCCCCCCCCCCTTCTCTCACACACACCTGGAACTCGCTGCATCGCCCTTCGCACAGGTCCCCCTCTCCGATCGCGGCCCGGAAAGTCTTCTTCACCACGCCGGCTCGGGTGCACGCGAAGCCGCTCCTGCAGATGGAGTCAGCCGGGCAGTACACCGGCAGCACGCTGCACTCCTCGCCCTCGCCCTCGCAGGGGGAAGGGTCGCAGACGGCCGAACAGTAGTACTGGTCGACGCCGGCCGTGTAAGGAAGGCATTCCTGCGGGATCGCGAGGAGACAAGAAAAGTTGACGAAAGGAAAGCGGCGGGTCATGGCGAAGCACGAGCAAGTGCGTGTGTGTGCGTGATTTTCTTTTTTTTTGTTAGCATCGACCGGCCACGCTAACCGGCTGACCAATGAAAGCGTCAGTCTCAGTGCGGTTGGAAACACAAAACACTTCTAAATGCGATGAACTGGGACCCGGTGAGGGGGCGGCATGGGGGGGGCTAAGTCAGGGTTTGTGTGTGTGTGTGTGAGAGAGAGAGAGAGAGAGAGATTTGGCGGGGGAGCGTTAGAGGCTTGGCGGAATTTCATAGCGGCGAAAGCCGTGGTCGAGAGTACGACTGAGTTCCGATATCGGGTGTCCGGGAGACACAAAACGCGGCGTGCTTTGAAAACACGGAGGCGTTTTCGGGAGGGGAAGATAGGTCACAGCCGCTGTATTGCAGCACTGCTGTCCTCGACGAAAGCCAGCAACAAATCAGTAGTGACGCGCCAAAATCCAGAATAACAGTGGTGCACACTAAATAAAGTGTTGGGATGATTGAGTCCGAAGGTGAGCGCGCCGCTTGGGGTGGGTTTGCGCCACAACCGGCACGGCTTGGCGCGGCTTGGCGCGGCGCAACTTTTCATGTCTCCCTTCGGTGAAAAGACTGACAGTCCCGTGACCACGACGACCGCTTCACACCTAAAAGTTCACAAGACGACCATCGGCAACGGCTCTTGGCACCATTGCTAAGCAAATGGGGAAGCTTCGAAAAAATGGCAAAAGGGGTGTGGGAGACGACGCTAAGGTTTCATTCCCGCCTGCACCTACCGGACGCGACGACCAGCATGTAACCAACGCCCGAGGGGGGCGGGGTTCGCGTCAAAATTTTTCAGGTGGTGTTCCGGTGGGGGGAAGGGGAAGTGTTCCATGGGCGCGGCGGGAAGAACACAGGCACCGCCAAAACATATCAACCAGAGAGACCTTTTCCATACTTAAGTCCTTCCTCGATCTACGACACCTGTGGGGTGCATTCATGCAGCATGTCTTGGCAACCCACTACCAATTGGCAAAAAAACTTTCCTCTTTGTGTTCTTTCGTGTTCACCTCGGAATCCAGGCAGGATCCGCCGCACTTGTCTATCGGGGATGCCGGCGGGGTGCCGCACTCGGCGACGGGGGGGCAAGGCCCTTCGGTGCAGTGGGCCTCGTTAAGGTAGCACGTCTCTTCAGCGCCGCACACCCCCGCGGCGCACGTGTCGGCGCAGTAGAACTCCTTCCCCCCGCCCGTCACCGAAGATGATGTTGTTGTCGAGTCGCCGTCGGTGTACAGGAGGCAGTCCTGTCGTATGCGCGGGTGTGTTCGAACAGTGAGCATCGGGAAGGGCTGACAGATGGGCAGAGGATATCAGTCGTACATCGGGACGAAAAAAAATGTCAACACGCATCCTGTATGCGTGTGCGTGTGTCTTTTATTATCAGCATCGACCGCGCGAACCGGCTGACCAATGAAAAGACGTCAATCTCAGTGCGGTTGAAAACACAACATAATTCTACATGCCATGATGCATGGGCGTGTGTGTGCGGTCGTTAACTATTGTGGCATCCACATCTCGCGAACCGATTGTCAGCCTTACAGCGGGAGAGAAACGCGAACATGAGTTGTGCCATGCGTGTGCGTGTGTTCGATACCTGTTGTGGCATCGATCTCGCGCCAACGGGCTGACCACACCGCTCCTCCCGTGCTCTACCGGACACATCGAGGCCCTTCCCGCCTCTTTCGTACCCATGTCATGTCATCGGTCCTCCCAACGACGGCGATGAAGACAGCAGACGCTAAAAAGGCATAAACNCCCCCCCGGCCCACCTTCGGTAAAGTAGGAAGGGAGGATTGGCCAGAGTTGAATCGGTCCTGTGGGAACAATGCTCCGTCCTCTCGAGGACGCGTGGTCATTGGCCCAACAACTACGGCAAGCTAAAAATGAGCGCGCCCGTTCCTCCCCCCTGCCACCGCCAAGACGACATACCTGCGACTCCCCGCAGGCCGCACACGGGTGGCACGCACGGTTGATGTCTCCCAGGGTGGCGATCCTATCCGCGGGAAGGGTTGTCCAGCTTTGGGTTGCCCCGCAAGCGCCCACGCTCCGCAACTCGCCCTTATACCTGTGTTTTTTTGCGTGTGTCGGCCATTACATTGGTGTAGGATGAGTATAATTCATAGGATGGTTCATGCTTATCGTGAAGCACTGAGCGGCTACACGTCGCTGTGCGAAGGGTGTGTGTACACGTGTTCATCAGGCCTCGACATGCGCAAGAGGCCTCTATCGACCCGCGCGTCAACTAGCTCTTCAGCGAAAACAAACCGCCTTGACCAGTGTGCGGCTGACAAAAAAAAACAACAAAAAACGGTGGGGAGATGCACCAAGCACAACACGCTTCCAGTGCACCTCCAGTATAACCGTACCACGCAGGAGCGCAACGCCATATGTAGCGCGTTCAAGAGCGTCAAGGACGTGTATAATTGAACTAAATAACCATCAAGAGGCGCATACATACATATGCATACTTGCTTCCATCTCTTGGAGGCTTTATCTACAACGTACCGATAGAGATCAAGGAGGTACTCCCCCCCGACTTGAAGATAGACGCCGCAATCGGCGGCGCTCGCGCTGGTGGTGACCTCTATCTCCACGGGGTAGTCCACTCCGACCTCCGTCTTGTAGAGCGTACCGACCTTTACATTGTACGTCACGAAATCCGGGCGATCCACCAGCACCGTCCTGTTTGTAGCCAAGGCGCGGTGTTACGCCGCTCAATTTCCAGGTTGTGGTTGGTCAGATTTATGCATACAGCGCTTAAGCGCTGCTGAGTTGTGATCAGTCACATGTGCTCGTCACTGTGAAAACTCTGTGATTTTTGCTGAGTTGTGATTGGTCACATGTTCTCTTCACAGGTTGTGAAAACTCTGTAATTTTCGCAGAGTTGTGAGTGGTCACATGTTCTCTCCACTGTGAAAACTCTGTGATTTTCGGGGCCTCCCTGTATGAGACGAGGGAGGGGGGGTAGTCATGCAAATGCATGCCGTAAGTCACAAAAAAAGACCCTACCTGGGTTGGGGCGTCACCCGTGGAAATAGATGCTCAAGACGTTGCGCAAACAGGCCGTGCCGCACTTGAGGCGGCCCTTCTGAAACCACCTTGCAAATCATTGCTGGAAGCGGAGAAATCCACCAATGCGAAAACACTACGAAAAAGAAAAGGTCAGGGGTTTCCATCCGACAGGGCTATTTGGACGCCCTACGAGGTTTCCACCCGAGAGGCTTTATTTGGGCATTAGGATCAAGCCTGTAAGGTATGTGTGAGAGTGACGCTGCTGAGCAAATCTCCTCCGGCAGAGAGCAAGGAACAGAGAGCACGCCCTGGCCGGTCTGGCTTCGATCGGTGACCTAGGGAGCGAGAAATCGGTTGCGGTGTCCTCCCCTCTCTGACCAAAAGCGGCTCTTTTTGCTGTCTCGTGGCGGTTTGTCCTGTTTCGGCGTCTCCCATGCTTGGTGCGATACGATCGTGCGTTTGTTTTACGCACGCGTCCCTAGCGACCATCAACAGCCAGCGTGCAGAATAGCAAGCCCTCCGGCGTAGGGTTGCTGGGAGCCCTTGATGGGAGTGATACGTCAAGAACTCAGGTCGCACTCGAGGATAATAATGTCGTCTGGATTGATCTACACCCACCCCCCAAGAATCCGCCGCAGGAATCCGGCTTACTGTAAGAACGGCCGGACTTTTTCCCAGCCGGATTTCTGCCCATCCTGAAAAGTGAGATACTTTGGGAAAGGAATTCAGTTGTGTAAGAATCAGCCTAAAATACACTGAAAATGGAGGGGGGGGGAAGTTAGTGTACATTGTATCGAAGTCGAAAAAAAATCGTCTACGTAGTACAGGGCTAAAACTCTGAGAACTGCTGCCTATCACCAAGCAGTAAACGAAACACCAACCAAGTATGTAGGTGGTTCCAAGTAGGGCAAAACATGCGATCAGTATATATGCGCAGCAACAGCGTAGCAGCAACAGGAAAGGCACGGCGCCATCACTGCATGACGCAGTAGGCTTGCGGCATTGCCAAACATCGCCGAAACATCAGGCCGCTTGTCTATAAGTGCTTCGTAGCAGGACCGCGAGCGCTTCGTTCTTCTCGTGCCTGGCCTGGTGTAAACTTACCGCAACATGATAATGCATAGAGTCATCATTATCGGTGTACACACTTGGGGGCGCCAAGATAAACGCGGGAATTGGCGTTCGTTCAAATGGTGTTTCACCGGCCCTCGCGACCTTTCTCACAAAAATAACCGTCCGCTGCTGCTTGTTCTTTCTCCTTCCTCATGAAGCCGAACTCCACGCCAACGTGTCAGTATTGTACCCGTCTGAGGCGCGTCGGGGTATATAGTGTAGACTACGAATACCGGTACGTGCGTATCTCTGGCGCTGTACCCCACACACCGTACACCCACCCGCGTTCGGCACCTTTCGGTACTTTCGGCACGCCCACGGGACAAGACCTGGTACACTACCGGCCTCGTATTCAAAATACCTTCGTTAGGCAGTATCCACTGACCACTTGGTACGAGTTTGTGTTCCTCGCTAAGCACAGCGCTGACAGGCTAACCAACGCGGATGCCCGTGTCCGACTTGGCTTTGCAGCCACGAACACGTCTCCCCAGGGTCGCCATCCCTGTGATCAGCGCTGTGCTTGCCAGATCGATACAAGCAGGTCATCGGCTCACTTTGTGAAGCCAGTTTCCTTAGGCTTGTTTATTCCCATGTGTCGGGCGCACAGATATTTATGCTCAAGGGGAGATTCGAACCCCGGGCAACGGCTTTTGTTGAGAAGCACAATGACCACTAGACTAGTGGTCATTGTGCTTCTCAACAGCTTCCTTTTCAAGGGCCGAATTGGGAGATCCTGGGTAGAATGTGCAAGTGTAGAGTGTAGAGAGAGACGTCTCTCTACTGCTGTACACTACTACGAGAACAAGACAAGACACACACCGGCGAGACGACGTGATCGAGGCTATCATGCTATGGGAATGGTCGGGGGCGGTTCGACTGCAAGGCGGCGCGGGTGGGTGCGTATTGGTGACCCTGGCCCGGACAGCAGTGGTTCTCGAAAAGGAAAGTATTTTTGAAAGTATTTGTGACGGAAATGGCTTTGGAGTACAAGAAACTGCTGAAGAAACAATAAAACAAAATCTTCCAGGCGTAGTCTAGACTTTGCAACAACAACGTGTCAGTATCGCCTATACGTACACTTCTTTTGCGTTGGACAGTCTGATGATAAACATGATGATAGCGCTTGTACGGCTTTGTACGGGTTGCCTCCAGTTTAACCTCGAAGTGTATGGAGCTCCCCTACGGTGTTTCGACCTTCACATAACCCGTGATCGGGGTAACGGAACCGTTGATAACGTACGACGGATGTTTTGGGTTCTGGGACAGTGCAGCAGTAGTACAAAAGCGTTCACTGCTGATTTGATTTACTTGCTCAATGATTCATCCGCGTTTGGTTCTTTCCCGTACGCCCACTCTCAAAACCTCTCTTTCAATGCGTCAAACTTGAAAAAACTCAACACAATCTGATGTCTCCCTGGTGTGTCAGCGATCGCCATCTACTACTGCTGCTATGGCTCACGTCGGCAGAAGCCCTCTAGACTAGTAGAATGAGGGTGTCAGGTTGGCACGAGCGAACACGCAAATGATTGATCATCACACCGACCGCAAAGAAATCCCACATCTTGCTGTGAACACATTCATATCATTCATCACAGCAGTGAACAGGCGCGTCGGACCCTGTGTCTTGCAGAGTTTTAGTCTCACCTTCGCACAACATGCCCACGTAGCACGACACTCGCAAAGCCGATGTTTTCGCACAGGGACCTGAAATCGCATCTGCAAGCTTGCGCCGCAGGGGCCAAGAGCAGCAAGGCCACCGAGCTGAACGCTGCTGCTGCTGCTGCTGCTGCTGCTGCTGGGAAAACGTTGATATTTCGGAACAACACCATCTGCGGCCCCTGCTCTGTCCAAAAGCCCTTGCAATCCGCGACGTCCAGGCAACCCCTGCTGCCCAGCAAGCGAGACCGAGAGTGAGGTAATCACTTCAGCCTGCAGCCTGCACGCGGATGTTGTGGTGGTACGGCCCGCTCGCCTTTGATCAGGGGTCCAACAACCGCCAGTAGTTCGCACCAACGTACCAACGCAAGCCACAGCAAGGCCGTAGGTTTTTCGCCTCTTTTCTGAAAAACTAGTCCGAAAAGCGGCAAACCAATTGAACGCGGCGCGAGATTGGCCAGGACTTGACAGTCTTTCGACGTGACATCACCAAGACACCCTGGATCCTGGACATCTGGACATCGGGATCGAAAGATACGAAAAAACGATTTATAGTTCCCAGCTCCCAGCTCCGCCTGGCATTAAATAGCTACAAGGGCACAGGCGTCCCTCCAAGGCTTGTTGAAGGGTATGTTCCCCCGATGCTTTGTGTGTGTTCGAGCTGTGTCCGCCCCTTGGGGTGGCAACGGCGCACCTCCCCTATGGGGGGTGGCACTCAAGGGTCTCTCGTCCATGGACGCAAACACGTTTGTTGGCCGTTTCAATCCAACCGACACATGAAGAGGTATTCGGTGGAAGACCCCGAGCAATTGCCCCCGAGGGATGCGGATGCAAACACCCTCTATTTGTTGTGCTTTGGGAAGAAGACGAAGCGCACACCGGTCTCAAAGACAAAGATAAGTAGGACGCACACCGGTTCCATCGATAACGAAGACCACCTGTATATAGGGAGGGGGAGATGATCATGAAGCCTGGAAAGTGCTCAACCCTTGCGGCGGCTTTCGCCGCACTTCTCTCGGGCGGATTCGACGGCTTGCTGCGTGGGGCCGAAGCTTGCAGCTGCCTACCGGATCACACCTTGTGCGACGCTTATCGAGAAGCAGACCTGGTGGTGCATGCTAGAGCAATATCTAGGTGGGAAAATCCACGTGTGGACTGGAGTGTTTGTAGTCTTCACGGTTTGTTCAGAAGAGTGTCTAGTCATCCACTTACAGACTGCCGGGGGAATACAACGACAAGCTCGGTCTCGTCATAGCAGCACCTACACGTAAACCGACCTCCCGCTTTTCCTCGCGCTCGTAGCAGCTGTATCCTTGGTGCCGATCGCCACTGCTGTTTTGGGTAGGGGAATCGCCAGAGATATTCCTCTCCCTGATGAGCCCGTCCTCCAACCAGTCGGTACGAGGCTCGCACAGCGTTCACATCCACTTTGGTAGGTAGGTAGATATGGGGGACAGTTTTGTTTTCATCAACGCGTGCAAGGGTTGGCGGTGGTTTTGTGCACCAACGAGCGGAAGGACTTAGCTTTCAGCTTCCCAGCGTGTGGTATTGTTTCTCCTAATGTATAGCACACCCATCGTGCGAGACGCCAACTGACTGACATGGTTGGGGATCACCCGCACGAAGAGGGGGGTATACTGCTGCGCAACCAGTTGCCACACAGTCACAACCATGGGGTAAACTATTCGGCAAAGCCGTTGGTGTTGTGTACAGATTCGGATCTGCCAGCAAGCATAGCAATGATGTACAGTGGGGGGCCCGGTTTAGCGACCCCCTGTTTAGCGACATGCTCTGTTTAGCGACATGCCCTGTTTAGCGACCCCAAAATCTCGTGACACCGCTGCACCCCGGTTTAGCGACCACAAGTGGTCGCTAAACCGGTCGAACCCTCAATAGTGACTTATTGTGCTGTTTTCAGCGGGCAATAGCGACCACCGGTTCAAGTTTTGCGGAGACCCCGCGTTCTTCCACACACCAGGACACAAGACTGCGGGACACGTACACACAGACCCGAGACAATATAGATCACATGTAGACGAACCGTACCTCCACTCTTGTGGGTCCTGCCCCTACGATGTCCCTATACGATACTCGAATTCACGACTCAGCCAATCCGGTACGAGAATAGCCTCTTCCAAGCTATCTGAAAACCACGCCATTGTGCAGGCTGAGTGTACTGTTTTACTCTCATCTTCCTCCTGTAAGTCCCACGGAAACCGTTTCTGCTCCTTCTCCCGCTTCCCTTACGTACACCATGAACGCTCGCGACTTCCAACGCCCAGCCCGCTGAATCTGCAAGTCCGACACGCCTTGCGCGGCTAATTGCGTGGCGCCACCAATGCGACCCGAGTGCAACGCGTACTGTGCCGGATCCTTCCCTGCACAAGCAACCATCCTCCTCAGCGCGACTACAGCTTCCGCGCGAGTAACCACCTTCCACCCATTTGCACCCATCCTCGTCATCAAAGGGGCACGTCCGGGAAGGCTCCGGTGGACGTTCAGGAGCTCCACGATCGCTTCGAAGGCTCCGAAAGGCGCCCTACCAGGTTCCTCCGATCTCGGGCTGCGGGTGCGCGTGATCGTGCATCCCTCTCGATTCTGATCTGCTTTTGACGCCACGAAATGAATCCTGACTGAATCCGCGCGCGCTCTATCTTCAGTCTCCACTTGAATGTCTCCTTGAAAAAACCTCAAGCAGTCACGCGTCAAACAGAAATCTGGATGGACGAGGCCGTTCGCGTACGCGAACAATTCCGAAGCTCGGCACAAGAGAAAATACGACAGCGTCAGTCCTAACCAGAAAACTTTTCCTCCATCCGGAGCGCTCGCGACGGTATGGTAGCCTTGGGACAACATCGACCACGTGAGGGGCAGCCTCACTTGCGCTTGCTTGCCCGTCATCCCTCGAATGCGATCAATCCCTTTCCCTGCCGCCGTAATCATACAGTGCGACGTGGGAGGCTCCCACCCCGTACATAGCTTATGGTAAAACTTGATCGCTGCGAGGTATCCCCGAACTGTGGACTGCTGGTTGTTGAACGAAAACAAGCGACACGTCATAAATTCGAGGAGGAGCGCGACGATCTCGGACTCGTCCATCGAGTTCAACCACGGTTCTTTACCCTTGTGTTTCATAAAATCCAACCATGTCTTCCACTTCGCGGCGTACACCTTATGCGTGCTTCCCCCGATCGACGCGCTCACTAAAGTATCCACCAACCGCGCGACTTCCGTGCTCATCCCCTCTCCTTCCCGCCCTGTTCCTGAAGCGTCCGTAAGCGGAGGGTTCGAGGATAACGTTGGAGGTCACGGGGGTGTTTTGTCGATGAATTTTAGTGAGGTGTCATCATGAGATTCCATAACGTTCGATCGTGACGGGGTTGTAGGTTCTTTTTCTGCAGCACGAAGGAACACACTTTTTCTCCGCGTGAACCGAGTGGTATTTCGCGCCAATCGTTTGTGTTGGTGAATCTTTGGACCCTATCGGCTAGTTCCGACCTTGGCCATCGAGAAATCCCGTCCGCGAGCGTGTTTTTTACGCCCGGGATGTGTTTTGCCTCGTAACTCCATTCTCCCGAAATCTCGAGTCGTCCTAGCATTCTCATCATCAAACACGCGCGTTTGTCTCTGGCCCCGCCGCACCGGTTTGACCATGTGACGGCCGCCATGTTGTCACCTCGCATCAAGACAGGGTCGTTGTTGTTTTTTGGGCGATCCCCTACGAGGCTGTGCATTACCCAGGCGGTCATTACCATGCCCACGAGTTCGAGTAGATTGATCGTGACGCTACAGGTCTCCCGACGCGCGGCCTTTTGTTTCAATTCGGTTGCGAAGTCCAAGGGCAAGTCGTATCGCCAAAACACCCTTTTTTCTGGACAGAAGCCGCCAATGGCGTCGAAACTAGCGTCTGATAGATAAAGTCGTTTTGGCTGGCGTTTTACGACACCGTAGCACGGGGCGTTCAGCGACTCTCCAGCTGTGAGCAATTCGTGTTCGATTGCCCACCTGAAAAAATCTAGGTCGTCGTGGAACTCTCTCCCTAGTTCTACAACGTGGCTACAGTTTCTCGTGTGTTTCCTGTGGAGTCCTGTGAGTCTCAACAACCTCCAGACGAAGTACTTTCCGGCCCGAACCACGTACGTGAGGTTCCACAGCTTCCCGGCTATGCTAAACACTTCTTGCGCTGTCGCTTCACGCTTGTGGCGCGGCCAGTCGATTTCTAAGGCTGTTTTTAACGCCTCTGCTTTCTTTGTCGTCAAAGAGATTTTTAGCTTGTGCGAGTCGATGACGAAACCTAAGTATTCAAGCTGCGTGTCCCAATTCGAACTCTTCTTCGGCGCGAGTATAGGAGTCTCCCCCGGTTCTCCCGGGCCGAACAAGCGAACGTAGTCTGATGCTAAAGACGCGGACACGGTCAGCGCTGACAAGTCGTCGGGCGATTGCTGGGTTCTCAGGAGGCCGTGATCATCTACGTAAACGACTGACATAAAATTGCTCGACCGATCGCCTCCTTTTGTGGCGTGAACTGTGGCGTCGTCCGGCACGGGCGTAGGGTCGCCTTCCTCCCACGGTTCAACGATTTTTACATGCTTCATCATGTTTACTCCTTCGGGCAGCAACTGCACGCTGTCGAGATTGGTATTACAGTGCGAGTGTTCAGCCGCGGACGCCATAACTCCGAAATGTCCCGGCGAGCCGGTCCAACCGAAAGTCAGGCGGAAATCGATGACGACGAGGTCGTCGACTACGTAGCTGAAGTTGTGCGCTTGCTCAGGTTCTACTCGAACGTTGCGATAGGCGTCGTTGACGTCCGTCGTTGACATGAGGATGCGGAGCTTCGGGTTTTTGGCTCGAAGGCTAACTAGCTCCGACAGGAATTTTGGCAGAGCTTCGGCGCAGAGGCTAGGGGGTACACTGTCGACGTCTGTGTCAGCGTTGAGACCTCCTTTTACTCCTTTGTTGTCAGCGTCGAAAGACAAGTCGTTGATTATCCTAACCTTGTGGGTAACGACCGCTCCCAGCGGCGACACGCGGAGGTTTGGGATTTCATACGCCGCCGATTTTTGAATAACGAGACATCTCTCTCTTCGTACATCCTCTGCGAGTTTCTTCCAAATGAGTGGTAGGTGCTCGTCAGCCGACCGGTGGTTTCCGTAGTTCAGTGCGCTTGCAAGGTCCGCTTTAGACGGGGGGGCACTCACTGGTACCCCTCCAGTAACGATTGTCATCAGTTCTTCGATCTGTGGAAAACCTTTTAGGTCCCCAAAATATTGTCTGACGTGGTTCGGGTCTACCGGTGGTGTGACCAGGGTTCCGCCGAGCGACCGTGCTACCTTCCCTACCGAACCACGGTTGTCTCGCATCATTTGTGTGCAAACCTCTGCTAGTTGATACAGAATTTGTTCTCTCTCTGGTTGTTCAAGGTTTGTTTTTCCGAGTGTTGCTCTGTCCTCGTGCCACCTCGCCACGTGTTTTCGCTGTGTTTCACTGCGCCCTTGGCCATTGGGAATCGATGATGACCCGACGTGGGGAGGGCTACGATGACGCAAGACTCGTTGTTCCGTGGTGTAGGTCGAGCGCAGTCCTACAGGAGGTTGTATATTGCGCTGGAGCTGCTGCGTGGGGGTAAAGTTTGCGTGGTGCGTGAGAGACGGTTGTCGTCGTAGTGCCGACCCTTGGACCATTTCTGGCAGGGTGGGACTTCGAGGACAGGTCGTGTCTGACGCGCCAGGCGCGGTGACCGAAGTGAGAAACGTCGATCGTGCCTCGTCTGGTACACGTGCCTCGTGGGGCTGTGTGCGCGACGGGCGATGGGTCGCCGCTGACTCCTTCAAGGCTGCGAGCGGCGTTGGAGACGTTGGCTGCCGCGCGTCTGACACGGAATACCCCGGGGGGCGTGTGAGAGGCGAGGCGAGCCCCGTGTCCGAAACGCCGACTTCTACGCGTTGTGGGAGAGACGAAAGTCTCCCTGTGTCCGACACAGCTACGTCTGCGGCTTGTGTGGGAGACAGGTGACATGACGTGTCTATCTTTGTGGTAAGAGGTGATACTCGTTGGTCTGCTTCGCGTGTTCGTGGCGGCATCTCGTCAATTCGTGTAGGAAACGGTGGTTGTGCCGACATTTCGAGGGTTCTGGCCCTGGAGTGTGGGGACAACCTACTATCCGATCGTACAGGTGGGCGAGATTCGGCTACGTCGAGGTTTGTGGAGCTACCAGACGGGTTCGTGTGGTTGGTCCACCTATACCTTGCTGCGCGACCGCTATTGCTCAACTTGAGTTGCTCACCGTGAAACAGGGCCGGCGAAACCGACCCCGGCGTGGGCGCGTCCCGAGGCCCCACGGACCTGGCGACGTCGGCGAACCAGGTACCAGCGTGTCCTGACTCCCCTCCCGCACCTACTGTCGGCCCTGCCGTATGGCAGAGCCCAACCTGTCAGAAACCTCCCCTCCCCCCGCCGCCCCTCCCTCCGGCGCCGCGCCCCTGGTTCCCTCCTCCACCGCCCCTGCCGCCGTGGACCGTCATGCTGAAGTTGCCCACGCTGGGCTGGCGGAGCTGCTGCTGCTGCTGCTGCTGCGATGGTAGCGGCTGCGGCGCCGCCGCCTGCTGCGGCGGGGCCTGCGGGGGTGGCGGGACCTGCGGGGGTGGGGAAGCGGCGGAGGTGGCGGAGGCGGGACCGGCGTGTACGTGGTGGAGTTGGCAGTCTGGGATACGGCACTGGCGGCTGAACCACCATCCCTTGCAAAAACCGGGGGGGCACGTCGGGGTCGTGGTCGTGGTCCGCTGCCGCTTGGTTGTCGCTGTCTTGGCCCCGGCCGTTCCGCTCTTCCGCTTTGCACTCGTGGCGGGGGCGAGGGCGGCGGCCACGGTGGGGAGAGGCCATTGGGCTGCCTTTTCCGCGAGACTCTGGGTGTGATCTTCCTCGAGCAAGGTCTTCAGGAGCTTGAATCGCGGAAATGGGACGGCATCCGTGGCGTCCGCGGTGGGGGGGCCGTCCTGGTGCGTCCAGCGTAGGTCGTATGCCATCTTGTGTAAAATGCGGAAACCGTCTTCCAAGCCGCGGTTGATGGCATCCAGGAGGACGTTGCGGACCCGGTTTTCATGGGGCTGCAGGCCTGTGTAGTGGAGGGTGAGGTACGTAGCCAGCTTCCTTGTAATCGATGCGAACTCCGCCCTCCAGGCCGCGACGCGAAGCTTGGCATTCTCCTCGGCCGTGTCCATGCCGTACTCGATCGTTTTGAACAGCACGGTGATGAAGGTGTCGAAGTGGACCGTTACGGGCATGGCAGCGAGGGCGGCGTTGGCGGACTTGGGCGGGAAACAGTGCTCGATTTTTATGTCCGTCAGGCTACACATCTGTTTCCCTCCCTGCTCTGTGATGTGTGAGTATTCGCCGGCGACCATTTTAACGAAGGGCACGTCGACCGGGGCGCGAGTGTCGAATCCGCCCCGCGCGAGGAGCCACAGGGGGCCCGTCGCTTTCCAGTCCTCAGCCCTCATCTTCTCCGTCATCTTCGACCCCGCGGTCGCCGGGGCGGGCGGCGCGGCGCTAGCGGCCACCACCGGTGCGTTGACGGGAGGAAGAAAGCCGCCGGCGGGTTGTTGCTGCTGCTGCTGTGGCTGCTGCTGCTGTTGTGGCTGCTGCTGCAGCTGCTGCTGCTGCTGCTGCTGCTGCTGCTGCTGCAGGATCTGTCCCTGCTGCGCCACCTGTTGGTGTAAGGCCGCCATTTGAGCTTGGTGAGCGTTCATGAACTGGGTGAGCATGGCCTGGATACCGCCGAGTGGGTTCGCGCCGGCACCCTCCTCTGGTCCGTTGTTTGCCGGGGGGGCGTCGCCGCCGTTGTGCACGGCTGCCGGGGGAGCGGCTGCAGCTGCGGCTGCGTCGGCGGCTGCGACAGCGGCTGCGGCAGCGTTTACAGCGGCGGCAGCGTCTGCGGCGGCGGCGTTGGGTGCAGCGGCGTTGGGTGCGGCGCCGTCATACGCGGGTGCGGCTTCGGCCGCGGCTGCGTCTGCTGCTATCTTTGCCTGGACCGCATTTTGCACTGATGGATCCATGGGCAAAATCGATCAAGGCCCTAACTTCCACGCTCCTTCCTCTTGCTTCCTCAACTAGTTGTTTGACTGCACTAGCGTTCTCTTCCCCGAGACGCGGGTGCACAAGAAGACTGAAGACATTGCACGCAGGGGACGCTCAGCACCCGTCCCCTGCTTTCTTTCGAATTCAACAAACGCCTTCCACAAACAACGCTTTCCTTCTGAACGCTACATGTTGCGCAAACAGCCGGATGTGAAACTGCGGGCACCCCAGGGGCATACTTGCCATGGTGGCTGCTGTGTACGCCTGCACCTGATGTGTGGGGAGGTGTAGGTGCTCGATGGCATCGAGATGCACCGCACCTGCCATGAGTGTGCATCTAAGAACACACAGGGCTTCCCCACCCGTCTCGAATCCACTAAACGAAAAAGAGAGAGTAGATGGGGCTGGAGGATTTGGCGGTGCGGGGGCTGGGGAAGTGATGGCGCCGCCGCCCTACTCGGAGTTATCGTAGCATTTTGGATCGCTTCAAGAGTGTGAGGAGTCGTGGACTTAGCGAGGCAGCGTACCATCTTGGCAAGGCAAAGATGCTGTTCATCCAAGCACACTCCGCGAAACCAGCGCGACAGATCGACATCAGAGACATGTTGAGTTAACCCCTTCGGGTCTAGTCTAGCCCTTAGACTATTTTTTTTCGGCGAAAAAAAAATTGATAGGAGAGAACGCGGGAGAAAGAGACAGAAGAACAGCAGAAAGAGAGGTGTGTACTTCTGAAGTACAGCAGAAAGAGAGGTGTGTACTTCTGTAGTCGGAACAGCTAACTCCACCCATAGGCCATGAAGACTGCCCGCGACAGGACGGTGGGCACATGCAGGGTCATAGAAGGGTTGATGTGTGGTAGCGGTGCGGCCGGTGGCGCAGGTTAGGCTTGTAGACCTCGAAAAGATCAGTCGTCAAGCAGCCTAAACTAGTCTATTTTCAATGTATTCAAATGATCAGTGAAAATGACCAGTGAGAGGGCTTATAGACCCATAGCTGGTTCCTGTACTTCTGTAGTCTACTTCTCTGTCCCCTCCCCCATATGAGCCCTGCCGGCTCACTACAGCTCCTGTGATTTTCCCACAATTTCCGCAAGCACGCAGGCACACCACAGCACACACCTACCTTTGAATCAGTGGCTCTCTAGGTTAGGGCGAGGGCACGTGTAGGGCTATGATGATAGTGTATGTGTTACTACAGCAGTACTGTATGCTGGACTCGTCTATACTGCTGCTGCTGTATAGTATAGCTGCTGACACGATGGCTGCTGCTGGATCTTGGGAGTGTACGATTTTCAAATTTGGAGGACATGCAGCATACCACGATAATATCCTGACCTGGTTGGGCTTGAAGTGCCCCTATTCGCTGTCATCCTGTCTTTCCTTGAGTGGCTTCCTAGATTCGGGCGAAGGCATGTATGTGGAGCTGTTGATGTGTGCCTCTGTGAAAGGATATGGCGAGAGATTCATAGTGGCATTTGCATATATTATAGAGCAGTGTACATTTTTCGAATTTTGGCCGTTCCAGGGACCTGATAGCTGGACTGCTGTGACGTCATTGCATTGGTCACCGGGTAGCGCGGTCGATACGAATAATATAAACACACCTACCTATTGACTTACCAACACCTGGCGTGGAGGGATACAGGGCAACGACTCCATGGCATGCCACAACACCATCATTTGCAAGTGATCAATCAATGATCAGTCAGGACGCCTGTAGACCCAAAAGGGTTAAACATGATCGGTAACACGAGACAGAAGCAGAATGAAGTCACTAGCAACGCGAGGTTCTTTGCCACTTGGGCGTTCACGAACTCTCTCCGTGCCATGCAGGGGTGTTTTATTATTGTGTTTTGGGGGACGTTGCCAACGTTTTCCCCTCGTCCGCCTTTTGTTTCTTCAAATTTCGCAGATCGGACTTCTATGTGTGTGTTTGTGTGTTAATCTATGCACATGTAGGGACAGATTATTCTGCATGCGCGAACATAAAAGACAAATGACACCCTCTGTACACTTGTTGTTGAGACATTCCCTACAAACTTCGGAAGGTACAACAAGCATGCTGGTTGACTAGAATGAATACCGTGAGGAACTAGACTACTCCCCGGTTGTCCACCCTAAGGTGCTTCTTCTTTCCTCTACTTTCATGTGACTGCTGCAATACGACGCATACATAACCCGATCAAGAGTATTTCTGCAACAAGGCCTCTTTAGTCCCACGGAATGGCCCTTTTTCCCGGTTTAGAGACCGCTAGATGCTATTGAGGGTCCCGGTTTAGCGACATGCCCTGAATAACGACCATATTTCGTCGTGACACTAATAGGGGTCGCTAAACCGGGACCCCCATTATAGCATCTGTTTTTCGGAGCAGTCACCACCGCCATCTGGGTGCCTGAACGTTCCTTGCTGTTCCACCCACCGCATTCATCCGCGGAAGGAAAGGCTTGTGAACAACGTACATGGACGCGTCCACGGTCCCTTCCTTGGGCGTGGCCGTGGACCTCTCGTTGTGGAGGCTTCCTCCATGAAGATGATGCAATTCGCTATATGACTGAAACTTTCAGTGACAATCGGATGGTCCTTACCCCGAGCTGAAGGCCACCCTTTTCATGATGACAATCGATGTCGTCGCTGTACAACATCTCGGGCTACGTAGGTTGTGGGTGAATGGGTCAACATGCACTTGGAAAGGTTGTACGTTGGTGAATAGGATGAAAGGTCGAAGGCTGACCGTGGCATCAGGCTCGTGGGAATGTAGAAGACCTAACTAGTCGATGTAGACAACACCGGAATTGCTTTCCGACATGACATGGAGACGACCACCACCAAAGAGATTGTTTGTGATTCCAAACGGGATGTAAACAATCTGGAGATGTCATCGGTATGAATGACACAAGTCCGCCAAAGTGGTGGCACTTGGTGGACACGTTCGGAGTTTGACATGTACATATATATGTCACTGAGGGGGGGGCGGGGGCTTCCCCCCATTTCGTTTCTCATTTGGTATGGATCCTGACTGCATAAATGTGGCCCCCAGTGCTTCGTGTATCGACGCGGAACAATTTCTGGGCTCGTTGTGCCTATGTTTCGCCCTGTGACCTCGGGACACGTTCATCATGGGGCTGATCAAGGCGAAACATCGGATGTGAAGGTGCTGGTCATTACCAAACAATAGCAAGCGATATTAGAGCCAAAATGAGCCCGATCAAAAACGAACAGCACGACCCGCTTCGAGTCCACCAGTACATACCGTACATGCGAAGGTGCTTGTACCAAGGTTCAGCCTTGAAACCAACTTGACTCCCACCGGCGTACTGCAGTCATTTCCAGCCCGTGTCGGGGGTAGCAAGTACCCTTGACGGTGTTGCAATGACTCGTTGATCGCTGCTCTGGATTAAGCATGATCAAACCATTTCGCAACGCCACCCAAACAATATGCGCGACCAATCCAAAACCAGAGTTATTGACAGCTCCAGCTCCGACATGCCCCAGTACGCCGACGTCACCTACACCGTGGAGGTGATCACAACTTACAAAGAGGATGGTGGCGGATTATCCGGAAACCTTCTCAGTTTCACCACGACAGCCAGTAGCTCTCTCTGCGGAATCTCGTTGGAGATCGGCGGAGGAGACGAAGAAAGCCTAGAGTATCTCCTCGATCTCCGTCGCATCGGGAGTGCCGACGAGTTGCGAGCTGTGGGACTTTGTGGCGCGTTCAAGGAATGGAGTGATGACGATGCAGCAATTCTTCAAGGCGGATGTGCTTCGACACCTGTGCCAGCGCAAACTTCGGTTCAGGTGGGGAAATAGGCCTTCAAAAGAATGCAGGATTATCCACTAGATGAATCAGCGCGAGGAAAGACAGAGAGCAACATTGACCGACCAGTGAACGTCTTCCTCCCATTCACAGATGTTGCAGAGTACGTTGGCGTTCATGACTCTCAGTTTTGTATTGGCAACTTTTCGCTTCTGTTCGATATCTTAGCGTTGATGACGGCAGAGAACCATATATTTTCGGGAGGCACAGAATGGATCACGCAAGGTGATACCACGGGCTGCTGTTGCCCCTCGCTTGCTCCAAACCGTGCTTGGCTGCCCCCCACCAACCCTTGCTTATTGCACCCGGTCCCTTTCATCACTCTCACCTGGTTTCCTGTACGTCGCAGGCAAGTTTAGCTGAGAGTGACCCCGACGACTCATCAGCGTTGAGGCTGATCGCTAACAGAGGCGTGGTTGCCGCCGTTGCTTGGCTCGTGAGCCTTTACACGATACTTTCATTCATTGAGGCTTGAAAAATAGGTGCACATCCTTGTAGCTTGCAGTAGCTCATCAAACCTCCGGCGTGTAGGGGATAGGTATTTTCGGAGTGTACGTTGTGCCCCTTCCGCCGTCAACAAGGCTGTGTTTCCGACGTAGATACTGCAGTGAGTCTAGAATATTGATGCCTACCGAATAGTCGACGTTACATACGTAGAATGTGGATGGATGCTGTGCAAGCTAGATCGTTGAATTCTTGGAAGGTTTCGACTACCTTGGCGACGACAGTCCTGTGTACTTGCTGGGATGTGGAGTGTTGACGGACAGCATTTCCTCCGATGGCCCAGCATGGTGACACGCAGTATCTTGTACAGGGGATAGAATAACGGAGTATGGTTGATATGCGGTTGATGTATGCAGGTATCGCAGTAACGAGTTGAAGCAAGGTGAAGCGGTGGAGTTTTGTTTTAGGTTAGTTAATGCAAGGCAGCTGGCTAGCATTCCAGTCTGTTCTCAATTCCTAGATTGTTGAGTGGCAAGTCTTGGCTTAAGCTCTCGACGGTAAGCTCTTCAAGCGAAGGGGTAGTGTGTTTTGCGACTGTTGCACCTCACATCCGGCATGACGGCTTCGACCCTCTCCTATACAGCGGAGCGTCAGAATTACTTGGCAATCAGCGTGATACCCGGCCATTCGGCGTATGCCGGAAAGAACCTCGGGTTCGTTCGTCAGCGGCACTGGACGTGACGTGAAATATTCCTCGGTATGTGGGTGACGAACGACTTGCCTTACCGCTTTTGGAAACAACCCAGCCCTCTCCGTTCAGCGCCCCATCTAATCATCACCGGTCTCTTCCAGTCTTGACAACATGTAGGTACTCAATGACGCAAGTATTGAAAGGGCGTGGGGCGCCCTTGGCCAGGTTGTCGGGAAACTACGTTTATGATAATTAACACTTGAAGTTTCGCGGGTTTGCAAGGACAGCTTGTTTGTTTCGAGGCTTACGTTTGGTTATCGCGGGGTGCTCCAGAATAAGTCGTGACCGAGCTCCCGAGTAACGACAGCGGGCCCTTCCTGTTGGAATTTTACCAAGGACATACCGTTTTTCGTCTCTGTGGCCATTTTGTTCTACTGTAGGACCTGTGTAATCGCGAGTCTTTTTTTTCGTTTGTACATACCCTCGTGTGGTTAGCTTGTGACAATGAAAGTCTGTTTCTCTCCTTTTGCAGTAGTACTTGTTATGGAGAAATAGTCTAGACGGGTAGAGATCAGAACGTTTCAAACGTCAACAGGACATCATCAACAACAACAACAACAACAACAGCAAGCACCGCAGGGAAAAAGGTGGAGAAAATCCTCCTGTCTATGTGTGACCCCGGCCAATGCGTCAATCGTACACCGACAGGTGCAGCCTGGCGCCCAGAATAGATGAGACCAAAATACGCACAAAACTACATGGATTCTTCAGAGCTACTTTGGGTGGTGGTATGTGTGTAGATGCCCTTTGAAGTCGGTGTTTTGTTGTCGGCTTCGTCATCTTCTGATCGACAGGTTGTAATCGTTTCTGGTTTTCATGTAATCCCTTCCCTTCACCGCTTTTCTCCTTTAGGACTTGGTTGAGTTTTGAGGAGGGAACAAAGCCGGGATATAATACACGCGTAGTTCTCAGCCCACCGGATGCCCTTGAATTGGCATTCTTGCGCCACAAAATCACCGTCGTAAAAGTCAGCTACTTTTTCAACTTTGGAGTCGTTTGATGGGGCTTCAAGTGAGCGAAACGACCGCAATACTCAACGGATATAGTCTAGGCGCCATAAAAGGAAGGGCGCAAGTTTTTATGTATTGAGGCAACACCAACCAAAATGTTCAAAAACGGAAATCAGCGTTGTGCTCACAACAATGCCTCCCGTTGCGCTTTCTTCTTCGGTTCTGCCTGCCGTCGCGCGTTGCGATGCTCTTCAGAACTGGATTCAACTCTGAAATATATTCCACGAAGAGACCGTTGCTCATCGTGCCGTAAAAAAATGTGAAAGATGAAGATTGTCTGCCTGATCAATTTCAGTCGAGAAGGCCCGAACCCACGCACATTCTTGTGCAGTGCCCCCGAGGCGCGAGAAATCACCCCCATGAGCCGCCCCGCACTACTTTAGACGCCCTCGGCAAGTTTGGGCTTGATTGGGCCCTCCTGCGTTTACGTTTAGCTGTGTCGGTGATCGGCAGGCACACGAGAACGCAACAGGTGCTCCCGACTCACCAAATTTCTCCGATCCAGACCAATTTGAGCGCAAACGTCGCATATCCGCCTCAAAATGAAGCCCCGTCCAATCCATGCTCAACCCTTTTCGACGCTGGAACGGCAGTGTCTTACCGATTGCACTAGCTGAGGTACTGACCCCTTTCGTCTACCATGTAATGTGCTACAGGGGGGGGGG